GCACTCAGATTGAGTATCATTGCCAATTTATTGTGCCAGCAGGCACTCAGATTGAGTATCATTGCGCCAGCAGGCACTCAGATTGAGTACCATTGTGATTTACCGTGCCAGCAGGCACTCAGACTGAGTATCATTGGTGATTTATTGTGTCAGCAGGCACTTAGATTGAGTATCATGAATGACTGTGCCAGCAGCCACTCATATGGAGCATTTCGAACTTTCATGCCAACAGGCACTTTGAGTATTTTGGGTAAATGTGTCAACGGGCACACTAATTGAGCATTGACCGAGTCGTCAGTTGAGCATATCGACTTACTATATTAGCAAGCACTCAAACTAAGCGTGCCATTTTCCTTTTGAGCACGTTGAATTTAAGCACTCCGGGTAACTGCGACTGTGCGCATTYTGACTTGAGTGTGACACTGCGCCCCTCATTTRAGAAAGCTGCTTTTGAGGAATTGCGAYTGTGCACACTCAGACTCRAGTGTGACACTGCRCCCTTATTTGAGGAAGCCTCTTTTGATGTATTGCGACTATGCGCACCCAGACTTGAGTGTGACACTGCGCCCTTATCAGAGAAAACTGCATTGATGATCTTGGGACGGTACAGCAGTGTGCACTTCATTYGTAAACTCAGCTTTGATRAACTYGAGTCAGTGCGACTGCGCACCCAATCTGTAGACATTGAAGAAGTTTGCGTGCCCATGAAGCACTCAATCTGTGTACACCGCTTTTGATGTTTCTAAGCCAKCAAGTCGATTGAGTGCGCGCCCAGCCTCAGTTTGGCTACTTGAGTGCGCGCCCAGCCTCAGTTTGGCTGTTTGAGTGCGCGCCCAGCCTCAGTTTGGTTGTTTAARTGCGCRCCCAGCCCCAGTTTGGCTGTTTTGAGTGCGGCCCAGCCTCAGTTTGGCTGYTTGAGTGCGCGYCCAGCCCCAGTTTGGTTGTTTGAGTGCGCGCCCAGTTTTATTTTGGCTGACAGAGTGCTCGCCCAGTCTCAGTTTGGCTGATCGAGTGCGCGCCCAGTCTCAGTTTGGCTGTTGGAGTGCGCGCCCGGTCTCAGTTTGGATGATCGAGTGCGCGCCGAGTCTCAGTTTTGCTGATCGAGTGCGCGCCCAGTCTCAGTTTGGCTGTTCGAGTGCACGCCCAGTCTCAGTTTGGCTATTAGAGTGCGCGCCCAGTCTCAGTTTGGCTGATCGAGTGCACGCCCAGTCTCAGTTTGGCTGTTTGAGTGCGCGCTCAGGCTCAATTTGGCTATTGGAGTGCACGCCCATGCGCGCCCAGGCTTGATAGTGTTATTTGAGTGCGCGGCCAAGCTTGACATTGTTGTTAGAGTGCGCGCCCATGCGCGCCCAAGCTTGATAGTGTTATTTAAGTGCGCGCCCAAGCTTGGCATTGCTGTTAGAGTGCGCGCCCATGCGAGTGCGCGCCCAAGCTTGGCATTGCTGTTAGAGTGCGCGCCCGTGCGCGCCCAAGCTTGGCATTGCTGTTTGAGTGCGCGCCCATGCGCGCCTAAGCTAGGCATTGCTGTTTGAGTGTGCGCCCATGCTCGCCCGAGCTCGGTATTGCTATATGAGTGTGCGCCCGTGCGCGCCCGAGCCGGGTATTGCTATATGAGTGTGCGCCCGTGCGCGCCCGAGCCCGGTATTGCTATATGAGTGCGTGCCCATGCGCACCCAAGCTAGATATTGTCATTTGAGTATGCGCTCACTTGCGCCCATGATCTGTATTGCTATTTGAGCGCGCGCCCATGTGCGCCCAGACTCGGTATTGCAGTGAGCATGCGCACCCATGCGCGCCCGAGTTAGATATAGCTATTTGAGTGCGCGCCCATGCCGCCCACGCTTGGTATTGCTCCATGAGTGCACCCGGGCTCGAGTAGGCTATACGAGTGCGGTCACTGATGATTCTAGGACGCGTGTCCCGCCGATATGATGGTCGGGGATGCATGTCCAGCGAGTGTGATTAGTCTTGAGGACGTGACTGGATGCCTCTGATGGCATGACTAGCCCCAAAACCCCGCTGATTTGATTTCTTGCTGATCAGTCTCTGCATGGACGATATTTATATCAGACCCTGTGCGGACGGTATTTTTCYTGCATACATGATATCAGTGCAGTTCGGTTTGCACGCGCAGTATTTTGCARCTGGCCTCTGCATAGATAATATCTTGATGATCAGTCTCTCTCAGTGACGATACTTGCAGTTCAGTCCTCATGCTCTAGTCCACTCGCTGCARAGATGTTCGTATGATGTTCCTAGATCGAGTTGTTGCTGATCAGCCCATTCAGGCGGGCCCTTATATCGAGTTGTTGCTGTTTCAGTCGGGCCCATTCAGGCCGGCCCTTATATCGAGTTGTTGYTGTTTTCAGCCGGGCCCATTCAGGCGGGCCCCTATATCGAGTTATTGCTGTTCAGCCGMGCCCATTCAGGCGGGCCCCTATATTGAGYTGGTTGCCACCAGTTTGGYTTGAGGGTCTATTGAGGTGYTGTCCTCTTTGACCCTATCGAGTTGCGTTRTTTTCCTGGGCTATTGATATCCCCTCATCTCCAGGACATCGTTGCTTGGCATAGCAGCTTGCCAGGGGCATTCTATATTATTTTGCAGATTGGTCAAGYTGGCTTCTCAACATGAGACAACCCCTACATGGGGTAAGMTGGTTGAGAAGTTCTGCTATCGACACATTGGGCATCAGAGTTTCGTCATTCGGGCCAAMGAGTYTCCCACATCGAGGTACACATYGGTGATCACTTGTCACGTGAGAGATGTTGGGCAGGGAGTGAAGGGAACCACCTATGACTGGATTGCTGACTATGTCTTCCGCAGGGAGAGCTACTGGAGGGAACACTGGTTACATGTGGTGTTTCCCCAGATCCCCTTTGCACCAGGCGGTGCCCTCTATGACTTTGACGGCTGTAATCCTAAGCCGCTGAGCAGAGGTGGCAGCAAGGAAAAGAGGCGTCAAGATAAAAGGATTAGGAGCGAGGTGGCCAGTTTCGGGATACCTATTACCACCTGCCTACAGAGGTCAGAGACGGATGAGTCAGACTAGGAGCCTTGTTGCGTGAGCGATGTTGACCTGGGGGACTATTTTGACTGGGATACTCACAGGGACTGAGTACGCTTGAGTTTGGAGCTGGCCCAGAGCATCTTATGACATTGGTCACTCGAGCGAGACGCAGGCGAAAAGCAGCCCCACGACGGGTTGCTTATCTTTTGGCACGATATTTGCTTGAGGGTGATTGATTTGGACATTACATGTCAGGAGGACCTAGGTCAGAGGAGGTACTCGGCCCTTCAAGGGGGAAGGGACTTTCTCATATCTTGGGGATGGCTACAACCTTTTGGTGGGAGCAGACTTCGTCATACAGGCTTTTCGGAAGCCTCTCTATGGAGACCGTTTTCTGGAGGTTTCATATGACTACATCTACGGCAAGGGGCGGATCGAGATCTTGATCGGTGCCACTGGCAGCATTTTCCTCGCTGTGGAGTTGTACCTTCGGAGCGTTGCGGACGAGGAGATGGCCAGATGTATGGCATATATCAGCAAGATCGATCCTACGGCATCCTTTGACATCAGCTACGTGGTCCAAGAGTCGATGGCCACTCAGGTTCTCAATGATGAGGAGGACCAGCGTGTACCAGATACGGGGTCCCAGACAGTCGAGCCCACTCATGAGGGGGTACCACTTGTCGTCATTGACTGAGGCTCGTATCTTTTAGTCACTGAGATGTACTATGACATTATTATTATTTATCAGTGACTGCAGTCCCTTCTTTATGGCTGCCTCCCCCATTCTTTGTGTACTACTCTTCAGTCTCGTGTCTCAGGTGATGCTCTTGCAGAGTCTGGTTTTTGGTCTTTTCATCCTCTCAGTGTCATTTGATTTATGATGCATGTCTTGTAATGCATGGAATGTTTGTGCATGAGATAACAAGTTATTCATCACTCCTTATCATAACAGGTTACACTCAAGGCTGTTTGAAGGACTCCTGGATACTAGGGACTTTGGTGACCTTGATTCTAACCTTTATACGGGGTCAGGTGCAGGCGATAAAACCGAACGCCTCACTCTAAGACGTGTCGGCGCTGGCAGGAGGATAACACTGACTACTCGACTGTGTGACAAAGGTTGCTTGTGATTTCACTTCCAATTTTTCCTAAAACTCTCCAAAATCCTGCGTGATAGCCTGCTTGTCTACCAACCCACCGCACTCGGCCCGGGGAGAGACATCGAACCAGGCCCTGGAACGGTGGGTGCGCGACAAAAATGGCGTCGTTGCCGGGGACTCAAAAATTTTGAGTTCCTGGGAGCGAACCTTGGTCACAATATTCAGTGATTAGGCAGCAGTTTAACATTTCGTAGAAGGTTTGGCTCAGGTCAGAAAGACTTTTCGGCTAGAGGATCCCTGAGAGGAGGGGCCTCTTGCAGAAGTCTATCTGAAGTGACTCAGACCTGCAAGCAAGTGTTTGGAATTTGTTTTCTGGACCCTTCGCTTGACAAGTGTTTAGGCTAGAAAACCAGATGATGACTGAGGAGTATAATGTTCTAGAAGCACTAACTCGTGTCACGTGCGGTGGTGCCTTCCCTTATATGTTTGTCAAATGCATTACATGCATTACTTGTGTAAAAAGTACGACGACTATGCATGTGCTTGTCTCTAGATTCCTAGACACTGATGATTATGATATTCGACCGTACATCCTAGAAGGGGCTGATCGGGATCCGAGTTTCTTTACCAATTGGGATGTTATTGTGAGATGTGTTGAAGTAGTGAGGGATCAGTTGAGACAGCAAGGGATAGAAGCGAGTTGGAGCTTACTGCCTAGGATTTATGAGAAGATTCCTACCCCGCCAACACCTAAAGGATTCTGTGATGGTAGGAACTGGCAGCCAATCATCAATGCAGTGTTGAAAAGGCAGAGCTGGTAGGCAGCCTATGCCGGCAGTAACTAGAGCGATAGAGGCACTGACCAGGATCACTGCTGGCGGTGATTTCCCATACGTCATTGAGAGGTGTGTGACTTGTGAGCACGACTTAGTGATTCTATACGTACTTGCAATCCGATTCCTTGATACAAACGAGTATGATGTAAGGCCATATGTATCTGCTGGAACAAGGAGAGGGATTGACTATGAGGCATGTTGGGTAGTTGCTGCTTAGTATATCCTAGGTGAAAGGTTGTTGTTGAAACAAGAAGGAAAGAAAGTGACGTGGAGTGTCCTACGTAGAGAGTTTGGGAGATTCCCAAACCCTCCTGTGCCTGCTAGCTTCTGCGACGGGAAGGACTGGGGACCAATGCTCAACGCGGTATTAAGGGATCGAGTGTGGTGAGCTATGCCGATCGATGTCTACACTCCTGATGACGGAGAGAGCTTTTGTTTTGAGGTCTATCTAGACAAACAGCAAGCAATTGTCATCGGGGTTGTGAGAGGATGCGATACTAGGCTAGGTAGGCACGACGAGATTAGTGTGGTAGAGCACTACCTTGAGCTTATGAGAGCGGCTGCTTTTAGAGCAATTACAGGTCAGACTAAGATTAGGCATCTGCTGGATTGCAAGAGTTCGGATGGCAGGAGAGTGATGCTACATGCGAGAGATGAGACCATCCTATCTAGACAGTGTCCTGCAGACAGTCTGGCTAGAGGCGCTAAATGCAGCCCAAGGAAATGATACTGGAGTGTGAAAACTCTATGCAATTGCGACTGTGATCATTAGTAGAGGACAATTAAATAGAGTGACTGAAGCTGACAACCCTTCGAGATAGTGAGACATGATGTTAGACGGATCAAAGATCATGGGGGTCACTAGGGATTAGGCAATGTCTGGTTACTGTCCGGCAGTCACGGCAACATGGGACGCCCTTGTTCCTTTTACTAGTGGAGGAGTCTTTCCCTACAAGATAGAGCGCTGTGTATCCCTGGAGGAGAGACATGCCCCCGGGAAGGCTTACATCCTTATAGTGAAGTTCCTCGACACTGGAGAATATGATATTCGACCCATGTTCCCTCATTGAGAGAGAGGGACAGATCGTGAGTCTTTTCGAAGCTGGATTAGTAATATAGTTGACCAAGAAAAGAAAGAATTAGAGAGGAAAGGGATAAGGGTAGTCAGTGACTTAACACCGATTGTGTTTGACAAGTTTCCCGAGCCCCATATGCCAAAAAGTTTTACTGACGGCAGGAACTGGGAACGAATTTTAAACGTTATCCTAAGAGAGGAAAGATTCAGGAAGAAGAAGGAGCATAGCTAGTAAACTAGACAGGATGGTCAAAGGACCGAACGCACGGCAGAGCCGTGCTAGTTCCTCCGCTTGGGATGGAGAAGTGACCACTACTGTGGTTCTTCGAGAGATGTTGAACCGAATAGAGGCTATGAAGACCGGGATGGACACTATGAATGTCCGTCTAGATCTTCCAAGAGCTAAGGTACCTCCAGAGAACATACCCTGCTTTGATGGAACCAAGGTTAGGGAGTTCCTGAAAGAGTATGATGTCTTCGGTATGAGCCATGGTTGGTCGGATAAACAAAAGTTGAAAGCTCTGCTAGCCTATGTTGAACCGAAGATGAGGGTGTCGGTAACAAGAACGACACAAGGGCTGACAACATGAGCGGAAGTCAGACAAAAGATGTTAGAGGAGTATGCGAAGTATGATGTTCCAACAACTATGCAAAAATTATTGGATGTACGACGTTCCAAGTACGCTACCCTCGACCAATTTCTAGAAGATTTTGAGAGGGTTGCGCGGAGAGTACCCTTCCTAGACGAGGCTCAAAAGTGTCCTCTTCACTAATTTTGCAGAGGATGAAAGGAAGAGTGTGGTAAGTCGTGCTGCCCATTATCCACTAAAATGGGATGAAGTGGTTCAGATGGTCCGTGAGCTGCCTTCCGAGTCCAACAAAAAATGGTCTTTGGAACAGATAAAAGCAATCACTAGTGCAATAGAGGGAAATGTTGAGGCAACTGCGGGAGGAAACTTGAAGGCCGAGGAGATCCTTGGTCTTCTCGTTAAGCTTGGTAGCTTCGAAAAGTTAACCCTTCCTGCCCCAGCAACTCAAGCACTTGTTGGAGCCGAAGAAGGTAAGGAAGAAAGAAAGAAGGAGAAGCAAAAGGAAGAAAGTGAGAGTGAGAGCGAAAGTAGCGATGAGGAGGACGTTAGGCGAAGGAGAAAAGAGAGCCAAAAGAAGAAGCGCGACCGGGATTGGAAGAAAGATAATAGGAACCGAGATTGGCAAAGGAGAGATGACCCTTTCCGATGTTATTATCGTGACGAGGAAGGCCATACTCTAACCCGGTGTCCGACGTTAGAAAAGGAGCTCGAAGAAGGGATTGTGAAGAAAAACGTCAATGGGCACATCTGTGATGCCAACTGGAACAAGGTAGATTTTCGAGTCAAAGGAGGAATGCGAGCAGTTATCCTAGACAGTGGCTCGAGATGACAATCCTGGGAGCCAAAACCTGAATGTATCCCATATCAGTCATAGAGAGGTTGAGGAGAAAAAGCAGGAGAAGGCTCAAAGAGAGCTAGACCAACTGGTTGATGGGACCAAGGACCTAGTGAAGGAAGGGAAAGGAAAGGAAGCTGCCGGGAAAAGGAGGAAGGTGGTCTTGAGATCCGAGGCTGAGGAGGGTGTCTCCATAGATGAAGTAGTAAAGAAACTATTTGAGGAAACCGAGATCACTCTATCCTGGAAAGAGGCGGTAGCCTTGGTGCCAAAGTTTAGAGAAGAATTTAAAAAGATGGTTGAAAGGCGGGAGGTAGAAATCAATAGCCTAAGACTATTCCCTCAGCATGTGGAAAGAGCCCCGCCTGGGACCAAGATGAGGTTTGGCAACATGTCGTGTGGGTACTTGAATATCTCCGTAAACGACGTGAAGGTTAGAGCCTTAGTGGACTCTGGGGCCGAGATGGTGCTCATGTCCTCGGCCACGAAGAGATCATGTGGGCTTGGAATAGATAGGAAAGCCAATCACCAACTTTCCAATATAGCCGGATTTCTGCCATTGGAAGGATTCATAGATGACTTGCCCATTCGAATTGGAACTTTACGGGCCGAGATCCTCTGTTTTGTGGTCCCCAACTTGGATCATGACTGCATTATCGGAGCCCCTTTCCTACATAGAATGGAGGCTTGTGCGTTCTTTGGTCATGATGGGGCGGTTTGGCTTTCGCTCCAGGATCCTAACAATGGTCAAGAACAGGCTTTTGTGATAAGTGACAGACACCATCCTCGTCATCAGCGACATGTTAATTCTGTTAAGCATGGAGAATTCGACAAGTTGATTGAGGAAGTACGAGCAAAGCTGAAAGAAAGTGGGATAGTAGACGAGAAGACAACGATTAGAGTAATTGATATCGGTAAGATGCTCAAACTCCTAGATAAAGCGAAGGAGCTGGGCGATAAGAGAGAGATGGAAGGATTCAAGGAAGTTGTGAGGGCGGCAAAAGTTGGTACGATGCAGCTTACCTTCTCTGCAACTGGGCCTTTTTTAGGAAAATAGCCACCGGGTCCAAAAGGAAGTATAAGCGCAAGGGCGTTAAGAAGAATCCGGTGGCAGTCTTGATAGAGAAGGACTATAATGAAGCATTAGAGAAGGAAAGGAAGATAATTAAAGGGTTAAGAGAGGCTGGATTAAAAGGGGGAAGGATTACCTCAGAGAGGTTCAAGATAATGAAGGTAGGAGCCGATGACTTCCTCCTGTCGGCTGAGAGGGATTTCATATATGAATTATGTCAGAAGTACGATGGTGCCTTTTCCTTTAATGATGAGGAGAGGGGACGACTGGACGATGACATGATCAAAATGGTCAAGATTTTGACCGTTCCTCAGACACCTTGGAATGATAGACCCACGAAATATGCTCAAAAGGAAGAAAAGGAGGTAATGAAATACATAAACTAGAAGATCGCCTCTTACGTTGCAGAACCAGCGGATGGTTCTTATGCCAATCACTGGTTTTGCTTTTGGAAGCCAGGAGGAGGTATGCGCTGGATGCAAAACTTGCAAAAGTTGAATCCGGTAACGATTCACGATGCGGGTAGCTTACCCAACGCGGATTTGTTGGCCGAGTCTTTCGCAGGAAGGAGCATTTACTCCCTAGTGGACTTATACTCTGGCTATGACCAATTCCCCAAAGATCCTACTAGTCGACCTATGACCGCCATGCACACACCTAGAGGCCTCGTACAAATGTGTGTGGTGCCTCAAGGGTGGACGAATGGGGTCGCGGTTGTCCAGCGAGATATGCTGAAGGTCATGGAGGACATATGCCCAGAGGTTACGTTCCCATACATTGATGACAATCCGGTTAAAGGACCAAAGGAAAAGGATGAGACCTTAGTGGATGGACGAGTTAGGCAGTTTGTGTGGGAACATGCGCAGGGAGTGGTGAAAGTACTAGAAAGGTTGTTTAAGTACAATCTAACAGCTAGTGGACCGAAATCACTACTGTTCCAAAGAGAGGTAACGATCTTGGGTTTCAGGTCCTTCTTGGAAGGGAGAAGCCCTTACCCTAAGAAGGTGGATAAAATCCTGAACTGGCCTATGCCTCTAAGGACGGTTGGGGAAGTAAGGAGCTTCCTGGGGGTCTGTAGCTTCCGGCGGATCTTCATTTCCGTGTTTGCCATGATAGCAGAGCCTCTTAGATAAATGGTGCGACAAGGAGCTAGTTTAGGGTGGTCTGACCAAAGAGAGAAGGTTGTGCGGACACTTCAAGATAAGTTAAGAGATGGTGGGGTCGTACTAGGAGTACCCTACTTCGACAATGAAAGGGAGAGGCCCTTCATCATTGAAGCTCGTGCAGCGAGATGAGAATGGTAAAGAAAGACCACTTCGATTTGAGAGTCGCACTTTTAATTCAGTTGGGAGAGGCTATATTCAGTTTAGGAAGGAGTTTCTGGCAATCCTTCACTGTCTCAGGGTGTTTAGGCACTACATTATGGGACGAAGATTCATCCTAAGAACGGATTCCACGATAGTAATTGGGGGTTGTTAAGAGACATCAGCAAGTAGATGTTACGGTCAGTAGATGGATAGCTCATACATGGACGTATGATTTTGTGTTAGAAAAGGTACCTACTGATAAGAATCGAGCTGATGGGTTAAGCCGCGTGGAATGGGGATCAATAGATGATGAATCTCTGGAGGAGGCACCCTTCGTTGACGAATTCCTTATGGGGGACGATGATGAAGGGCTACCTCCTGCTCCCAATTGTTATACGGCCTCAGCCTTGGTCACCAGTAGAGAAGACTGCTGGGGAGAAAAGGAAGATCCCTACCTCCACTACCTCTTGATTCAAGAGGATGAGGAAGAAGGGTGGTATGGGATGGTAGAACAGGCCGCTGTTGCAGCTCATGGGCTGGCTGAGAGTTCAAGAATGGTCGAGCGTCGAATGAATGAGATAGAGGATGGTTCAGAAGATCTGGAGTAGAGTAAGGATGATGAGGGAAGGTTTGAAAAGGAATAATATGATGGAGAGTATAAGAGGATCGGTATGGTGACGAGTAGTAATCACCTGAACGAGTTCTACCATGAGAGAACAAAGAGGACCTCTAGACTACGTAGGGGTCACCTCTTTGTGGATGCTAAGAAGGGACTACCGCCACTGAGAGTTGTGTGTGGTAGGGAAAGGCAACTAGAGGTGCCAAGGTGATTCCAGAAGCTGGCAATTGATGCAGGTTATGCACCTGTTACACTCTGGTACGGTCGGTATGCTACTTCTCCCATTGAGAACCTGGTTGAGACCTGGACCCGTGAGGCACAGAGAGAGTCATACTCCACAGAGGAGTTGCTGAGACTGAGGATCAGGCAGATCAAGGAAGTGGATGAGACCATAATCGAGGCCACAAAGAGGATGTCAGACAGCAGGTTATCTGACCAGACACGATGGAACAGCAAGAGGTAATTAGGAAGGAACGACTTCAGGTCGGAGATATTGTACTTTTGCATGAAACATCTCTCGAGACGCACTGGACCAAGAGATTGGAGGCCAGGTGGATGGGACCTTTCAGGATCATCAGAGAGGTTGAAGGCAAGGCCTATGAGTTAGTAGAGATGGATGGAACGAAATCCCATGGTATAGTATTCGGCTCCCGGCTCCGAAAATTCATACTCAGAGATGCAGACTTGATTCCGAGTTCGGGCACAATGATGGGGCGAGGCCCGAGAGTCGTCTAGCATCAGCCTGGACATGCTGGGTCGTGGCCAGTGTGCCCTCGACATTGGTTGGGATGTGGTCAGTGTGCCGCCAACCGCGGGATCATTATGTGCTGGGATATGGACAGTGTGCCGCCAGCTTCAGACGATGATTTTATGCTGGGACGTGGACAGTGTGCCGCCAGCTTCAGACAATGATTTTATGCTGGGACGTGG